CCGATCTAGAATAGTGCTATCAGACCAGTATAAGACACCGTTCAGGGTTGCACTGTGGGCGGAGCGAAAAGAAGCATCATTGGCGTGTCCCTTTCGTGAACTCTTTCCTCACCGCTATGGAAGGCGGGAAAAGTACAAGCTAATAGTGGGGCCAATGACATCGTCTTCCATCTCCGCCCCTCTGGCTATACCGAACGGTGTCTCTAGGGGGAGGAAATAAGGTATTCATTAAAGGCAGTGGGTAATGGCTGGGGCGGTCGCTGCCAACGTCGGAAGCAGCGTACAGCATCGTGATGTCTGGAATGGTGGTGTCAGTACGACCCTCTCCCCTGAAAGAGGGTCTCGGTACGATCCTCTTCCCCCCCCCCTTCAACACCTCTTACACCTAACTACCTCTTTTCCTGCACGTTCCCAGCTTCCTATCAGTATTTTCCGGAATTCCCTTTAAATTTGCTACTTTCTCCCCGCCCGATAATTCCCCGTTGAGCAGGGGGAGGGGTAAAGGGTATATAGCCAAGGTTATACGAAAAAAAAACCACGAAAAGTCAACGAAAAGCCAACAACCGAGAAAAATGTTTTCCCAACGCGGCAAATTTCTCTCAGAAGGCACATACGCCCCCCTCCCCTTGCGGCCCAGTACGACCCGTCTCATGTGTTTCACACACCCATGCTGTATCCTAGTCGGACGGGCCGAGTATGATGTGGCCGAAACTCGCTGTTCTTCCACTAATGACTTTGGCAGTTACAATCCACCCCAAGCCATCACGCCCACTGCTTTTGAGGCTTACGCTTCTTGGTAATATAAGTGCTGTTGTGAGATGAATTCAGAGTTATACCCACAGTTGTGATGAAGTATTTCGCCAATGGAGCTTACCATCGTCTTCATCATCGTCATTCGGCAGTGGCGTACTCCACGCTTTCAGCATTTCTGCCTCGGTGAAAGGACAACAAAAAGTGGAGGGCGCGAGAGGCCGTGGCGAGAGCGATGATTCTGATTTCTCGTTTTCGACGTCTTGTGATGCAGCAGAGGCTAAATTTTGCAGTCTTGTTCTGCGGATGATGGAGCGTGCCAGGGGGGCTTGGTTTGGCGCAGTGCCAGCTTGTTTTTTTTTCTCTGGGCAAGCTTATATCTTACCGCTCGTACCAATCTGTTGTCGCTTACCTGATTCAACAACTGGTGGAGAACGGCCTAGCGCTCCAATCCCAGCCTTACTGGCAAGCCCCATCATCAGTAGCGGACAAAAATGTTATGCAGTATGGATAGACCCAAAAGTTCGTTGGAAATCTCAAAGCGCTGTGCGTCTGCTACCATGAACAAACAACTTTTTGGACTGCCAGGGGCGGATTAAAGATAGCAGGGCTTTGGCGGGCTCGCCCTGTTCCCTTTTCCCTTAGCGTGCGTTCATACTTTCCGGCAGCTTCAGCGTTTCGGGTGTCCGGCAGCGTCAGTGTCTGAGAAAGTCTAGTTACCGATCAAGCCTTCAACAGCGTCTCACAGTGTTCTCCAGCGTCTACCAGCGTCCACCAGCGTTCCGAGGCAATGGGAAGTATGATCTATCGTCTAGCGGTGTGTGCCAGCATCTACCAGCGTCCGAGAGACAAAATTACAGCGCGCTAGGAGCGTAGCAGACAGCTGGTAGAGTATGGCCCTATGGGACGGTAGCAGACTGTTGGTAAGAGAAGGCGCGATAGGAGAGTTGCAGAATGGTAGAGTATGGGGAGATAGGAGGAGACTGCTGATAGAGAGTATGGCGCGATTGGAGGGTACCAGATTTCTGCTACCCTCTTATTGCGCCATACTCCCCTCTCTTGGACGGCGTGCACACCGGCAGACGCTGGTAGACGCTAGATGGACCCTTGAGTCGCTGGTAGACGCCGGCGGACGCTAGTAGACTTGGAGGGGAACCCTTTTTGAGTGTTTCTTGTCTCTTTTTGAGGGGGGAACCCTTTTTGAGTGTTTCTTGCGATATTGGCGTCTTGTTGTTTAGTAGAACATCGTTGTGTTATAATTTGTTTTCTACTGTCACCACAAGTGAATCGCATGTAGTGATTAACTCAATGATAACGTACCAACAGTCGGCTCTTCTTTTTTTACTCCACCATCAACCTTCATTTTCTTCACTGGAATAGGTTCAAGACCACCGCTTGGACTAAATTTGAACGTTCTCGATCCCCCATATGGTACACACTGAAAAATTGAGACAAGTTATTAACCTATTCAAATGTGCCTCATTTGGAAGCATTCATCCTTTATGAGTATTGGAAGGCATTAAGAACTTCTATAAGTGAGGGGAATATGTACAGTTTGTAAAATCGCATTCAGTCGCGGCGATGTGAGGAAGGCGGTATGAGCCCGCCTACGGCTGCCTTGCTCTACCAATGGTGATCGGATAGTGACTGATTAAGGAAGAAAACAACCAGTGATGGAAACGCCGCAGGTGGAGTCAGTCCATCCCCTGGGAATCGACCGCATGAATTGCGACTTTACCAACTGTAAATTTTCCAGGTATGCTGTCGATCTTATCCCTTCTATGAAACACGTTTTGACGATATTCCATAGACTGAGTATCAGAAAATTCGCGATACAAATGTAAAAGAAAAGCTACCTGACTATTCTTCGCTAAAGCAATGAAGTGAGGATCTTGAATGATAGAAATTCGCTTGCTCATCACGCCAAGAACTCGAGGTAGTGCCAACCTGGCAATTCAAGGATATCGATTGATGCTTGCTAGACAATCTACTCGCGTAATTTTTCAACGAACACTATCGGAACATTTGAATCAATTTCTGTGACAGTCACAAAAAGTCTACAGCACAAGAAATCACAGACACGTACGAGATCCAAAATGTTGTCGTCATTCAAATACAGGACTCAAAGTAACCTTGAATGCTGTGATATCTCTAAATAAAGGACCTCCTACACCAATGGTGCCGATCTGGGTGCAATCGAAGGCCACCCAAGTTGCCGCCAACTGCAACTAATTGTGATAATATTTAGGTAGATGGCTGCACAGGCCAATTAGAGCTAGGCAAAGATTAAAACGTCTCGTGAATCCACGGGAGTATTACTGAATGCTACATGTAGGCGTATACTGCATTAGGACAGTAGAAAAAGAACATTTCACAGCAAAAGAACATTCAAATATATGTAAAACCTTCTGATCAAGTAAGAAATAGAGCAGGAGACGCCTTAATGGCTGCGCGACGCTTACAGCGTTCATGCGACGCGGAGCGTACCTCAGAAGAAGTACTGCTCATTCAACGCCGCGCGCGATCACCGCTCACGGCGTCCGCGACCTGCGCAACAAGGTGCACTTGACAACAGGTAGTCAGGATTGGAACATCGAAGTGAAGAATTATTACACACTCTGGCACAACTTCAATGACCAATTTAATAAAAACACACGTGCAAGAAAAAAATCAATAAGCAACCTACTCACCCTTTTTGAAATTCGGCTTCGGTTTTTTTTCCACATTTGTAGCTCGATACAGGATTGGCCAGAGGTTCGTAGTCGGGTGTGCACGGCCTCCTAGACACAGTCAATCCGGTATGGCATAAAAACGCGTAACAGGCCAGAGATTCACTGGGTCTGCTTGCTCAGGGCCACAGTTCAGGGAAATTTTGAAAAAAAGAACGAAGAGGAAATAGCGCCCAAGTTGGTTGGGATGCATAATGTGGGATTGGATAAATCTTATTTATTCATTCGATACACACGTTGGATTGCTAATGGGAGGACATGCAACAATCGCCCGATCAGAGCGCTGGTGGGCGTGGCCGCGACGTCGCGCGTGCAACTGCACGATTAATGGCTTTATTGTAATCAATCCCTCTCATTGTGCTTTGAATCCTGTATCCAAAGTGGAACGATGCCTTGATCGCGATGTATAACATCGGTGACCACAGGGAACCCATCAGCTCCTCGTATACTGCAGGGGCCACTGATTAGATAGTCGGGGCACTCGCCTCGCGTTACGTCGCTTTGTAAAGCGCGACCCCTGACGATCGTGGCCAATGTTGTGCGCTATGCGACCCAACTCGAGAGTCCGGAGTTGAGTAGGAACCTTCGTAAACCGGAGTTATCATTTAAATAAAACGACGAACCATGGAAAATTAGAGCTATGAAGCAGTGTTCTCCAGCGCGTGTCGGTAAGCTTGCACCGAATAATGGTGGGGCAACTTAACGGCTTTGATAGTATCGTAATGTTCGGGTCCCAAAAATGACAACAGCCCCCTTGCGTTGAAGTAATGTTATTAGGTGGGCTCCGACCTTTTCACGCTCTGGAGGAAGCGATGTCCAGGTAATAACACCGAAATAAGAATTAAGATTGTCAATAAGGTCAATAACACCGGAGTAAGAAATAAGGTTGTGTAACCGAATGCTCAAACAGCTGCCTGTAAGGGAGAAATGCAGAGAATGAACACGCACTCTGAATGACGCTCACCCTTTTCGAATTAAAAGTTTGTCCAACACGTCAACTCCATATCACTTTACTCGGAGTAGCCCTTTAAAAACGGAACGATCACACAGGGGAAGTGAGCTGTTTCAAATCATGAATACAAGTAATAAAGTAATTGGTTCCATTTCTTCCTTAATAAAAAAACCCTACTGCGCAAAAACACGTTGGCTAACTTGTCATGAAAGTATAGCAACAGTTGCAGTTGAGCTACCACTGACCGCGCGCTGAAGCCTACCAGTTGCCTTATGCTACTTTTATCTTAGATGGGAAGATCTCCTCCAGTAGAATTCCGCTCTTGCCGTATCTCTATCGATGCTACTCGTCTATCTGCTTCTGCCTCTCTGATCACACAGCGACAGCTGGGGGAGAGGGAATATCGATTATACTCTGCGTCCACTATCGCTCAGAGCGCGCGCCGGGAGATCATGGATGCAGAGCGGCAAGAACTAGAGAGAGAGGGGTTCTAAAAGATGACGGCAGAGAGGCTGAGGTCTAGCGGGAGATGTCTCCCCGAGGGGAAGTTTAACATACAGGGTGAATAATCATGCTGCAGATTTTGGGGAAAGTTTCACTGAAGTGTGGAAGGGTTTGCGGACGCTACATAATGTCAACTGAAGATTCCCACTCTCTTGATTGGTTCCACAACGATGCTGCACCCCGGAGGAGCGAAAAACAGGTACAGCATAGGGATAGGCGAAATGTCGGTGTGAGTACGACCCCCCCCCTCCGAATGGGGTCCGCGCCACGACCCCCCCCCCTTTTTTTTCCCCGTTGGTACGACCCCCCCCCCTCCCTCAGCTCGCACTCGTTAGCGGATCCTAGCGATGAGTATATAGTCGTCGTCGAGCGGAGGGGGGTATACAATAACTATGCAACGTATATCCGGCGGGTGTACAGGGTGCATATAATGCATATAAACAAAAATTAATACGACCCCCCACTTTTCCACAAGATAAAATCAACTATCAAAATAAATTTGTCTCCAACAAATACGACCCCCTCCCCCAAGCAAAAGTACGACCCCCCCCCCTTCGTGTTTCACACAACGATGCTGTGCCCTGGGAAAAACTCACCCATGCGCGCGTTGGGGCGCGATTTTTTGGTGTCACCTCGGCGGCAAGGCGGAGCGAAAGGCGGTAGCGTGCGCATCCACCACTGCTCCAATCACAAGACACTTTTGTGTGGAAGGAGAAAGAGGGGAAAAAAAGAGAAAAAAAGTATAAACAGATGGTGGATACTTACTGGTGAGTTAGTGATTATTTTTCCAAACCTCACCTTAAACGTTTGCGTGAGGGCTGTTCGCGACGCCTTCGCAATCGAAGGAAGCTTTTTTTGCCAGTTTCGCCATTTACTGAAGTAATTCGCCCTGATAGTCGACTTTTCTGTATTCTCTCACCACTACCACTAACTCACCTGTAAGCATCCACTATCTGTTCAATCCTCTTTTCTCTCTCTTTTCCCCTTTTTCCTTCCACATAAAAGCGGTTTAGTGACATCTTGAACTTTTGTGCATGGTCCTGTTACGAAACCCTGTGACGCAGACGGATAGAGGGCAGCGGCTGCCAAAGCATCGAAACGTGCAAAAAACGTATGGCGAGCCAGGAAACGGGTGTCCAGCTTCTCTCTTCATAAAACCTCGGCATTATTGTGAACTTTCAAGTTGTAATGTGTTCTGCCAAAGAGGTTGGTAGGTGGAAGACTTTATTAAACTGGCCTGACGTTTCGACGGGATCGTCGTCCTCAGAGGCCTAAACATAGCTCAAGGTTTAGATGTTGTACCCTCTACACCGCCAAACGCCTCGACACCCTAGCGTTTTTGGCGGAAACCTAGAAGAACTACCGAAAGAACCCGAATGTGAGAAACGAACTTACCAGTCCACCACCACATGAGCGGAACGATGCCACTCACTGTTAGTTGTTAGTAAATGAGACATATTGTGCTGTCCCTATACAGCAATGATAGGAACGGCACGTCTCATTATTTACATCAACAGCTCGCAATGTGGCATAAATGGCAAGAGGTCATTTGTGAATGGACAGACACTCATTTCGGTTGTTCATCCTAGGATTCCTTGCGGAGATCCAGAGCGCTTTTCTAGCCGAAATTTCAGTCTCGAATGCCAGAATTCTGCACTTCACATCAAAATCGTTTCCGCCATGCTCCTCGATCAAATGCCTGCCAAGCGGTGTACGCGTATTGCCGCGCCTTTTACCAGCGAGGTGCTCTTTGATACGTATCGCCAGTGTTCTTCCAGTCTCCCCTATGTAAGTTGCGTTACATGTCTGACACTCAAGTTGGTAGATCACGCCACTTTTAGCGCAATCTCCACCTAGTCCGTGCGGACATATGACGCAATGCTCTGATATGCA